GTGGTCAGATTCACGGCACTGCCGAGCCCTTTTGGATCTTTGTCGAGGATGTCGACGGCGAGACCATCCTCCACCACGAGGCATGCAACGGAGAGAGAGAGAGAGAGAGACCACGGCAACAAACACATACCAAAGCTCCCCGTGTGTGTGTGTGTAGATCTTCCTGCTGACCCAGCGAGGTGTGGAGGAGGAGCACACAGTCAACTTCACGGTGCCCGTGATGGACCCCCTGCCGCCCCAGTACTTCATCCGGGTGGTCTCCGACCGGTGGCTGCACGCCGAGTCACTGCTGCCGGTGTCCTTCAAGAGCCTCATCCTGCCTGAGAAGAACCCGCCTCACACAGGCATGCAGCACACACACACACACACACACGCAGAGAGAGAGAGGGAGAGAGAGGAACAATGGAAGCATCACACCTTTTTCTGTGTGTCCTTGTGTCCTTCAGAGTTGCTGGACCTGCAGCCGCTGCCCGTGACAGCTCTGCGGTTCCCCGAGGCCGAGGCCCTCTACTCGTCGTCCATCAAGTTCTTCAACCCCATACAGACACAGGTCTTCTCGTCGCTCTACAGCTCCGGCGACAACGTCCTCATCTGCGCCTCACCGGCCGCCGGCAAAATCATCTGCGCAGAGTTCGCAATCCTCCGGATGCTCAAAGGCGATGGTATACTCCCTCCCACCACCGGACAATGGATGGATGGATGGATGCATCGATCGATCTCTCTCTCTCTGTGTGTGTGTGTGCAGGTTTGAAGCGCTGCGTATACATGGCGCCCTACGAGCTGACGGCCCGCGAGCGCTTCGCCGAGTGGTCCGCCAAGTTCGGCAAGCTGGGGCTGCGGGTCAACGAGCCGACGGGGGACCTCAACACCGACCTCAAGATACTCGAGCAGTCCCACATCTTCATCACCACACCCGACAAATGGGACCTCATCTCACGAAGGTCCACCACTTCGTCTTGGGATGTGTGTCTGAGGGCTCGTGTGTGTATGTGTGTGTGTGTGTGTGTATGCAGGTGGCGAAGCAAGAAGGTGGCGACGCAGCTGCGGTTGTTCATTGCGGACGAGCTGCAGCTGCTGGACTCCGAAGTGAGACACACACACAGAGAGAGAGAGAGAGACCGGAACACCATCCACCCCCACCCCCACCCCCTTACGATGGATGCTGTCTGTGTGCGACTCACTCACACACAGGTCGGCCCGACGATGGAGGTGTGCGTGTCGCGTATGCGGTACATCTCCGCCCAGACGAACCAGTCTATCCGCATACTCGGACTGGCATGCTCTCTGTCCAACGCCAAGGTGCGGTGCCGCCACACACAGCCATGGATGGATGGAGGGATGCCACTCCACCGATGTGTGTGTGTCTTCCTGTCACTGTCACAGGATGTGGCTGAGTGGATCGGCGCGGGCAGCACCAACCTCTTCAACTTTGGCCCCAACATCCGCACTGTCCCCCTGGAAATCGCCATCTACGGTGCGTCTGTGCGACGAGCAGTGTCGCCGCAACCAACCCACATGGCTTGTGTGATGTGATGTGGTGTGATTTGTTCTGTCAGGCTTCGACATGTACTACCGCGGCAGCCGCCTGCTGGCAATGGGCAAGACCGTCTACCAGGCCATCAAGACCAAGTCGCCCGACAAACCTGTCATCATCTTTGTGGCTGACAGGTACAGTCAGTACCCCTTACTCGGCCCTGCCACCATCCACACACATGGACACCTGACATCTCTCTCTCCGTGATCACCTGACTATGTGGTTGCAGGAAGCAGTGCCGGCTGACGGCGATCGACCTGCTGCTGCAGGCTGCCGCTGACGACAAGCCAAAGAGGTTCCTGCACGTGCCGGACGACGTCATGGCCAACCAGATCAAAGGCGCCAGGGAGAAGGTGCGCAAGAGGGGACACACACACACACACACACAGAGAGAGAGAGAGAGAGGGGGGGGGTGGGTGAAGGGATGGAGACAACCCAACTTGACAAGCATATATCTGAGTGCACACACACACTGAAGCCTCCTTATTCGTACTGTCTGATCACCCCCCCTCCACCCCCACATAGCCACACACGGAACCATCGAAATGACACCACCCTCTCTCTCTGTCTGCGTGTCTGCAGGCCCTCAAGCAAACGCTTGAATTCGGTGTCGGCTTCTACCACGAAGGTAAGGAGACCACGACCACCAGCACCCCATCAACACGCACACACGTGTGGCGGCCTGCCTTCTCTGTTTGATGCATCCGCTGCAGGGTTCTCTGAGTCGGAGCGAGGGATGATCGAGCGGCTGTTCGAGTCGGGTGCCATCCAGGTGTTGGTGACGACCGAGCAGCTGACGTGGGGCATGACCATGTCGGCCCACCTGGTGATTGTCATGGACACCAAGAAGTTCGACGGCCGGGAGAATCGCTGGGTGGACTACCCCGTCAGCGACATCATCCAGATGATGGGCCGGGCCACGCGGCCGCACATCGACAAGTCGGGGGTCTTCTGTCTGCTGTGCCATTCGTCCAAGAAAGAGTACTACAAGAAATTTATCTACGAGCCGCTGCCCGTTGAATCACATCTCGACCAGAAGGAGGTCAGGGGGACGACGATCTGTATCGGCCGTCTTGTTGGTTCGTTTGGTGATATCTCTCTGTGTGTGTGTGGTGTGGTGGATGCAGCGTATGGCCGACTTCATCAACGCGGAGGTGGTGCTCAAGACCATCGACAACAAGCAGGACGCCATCGACTGGCTCACCTGGACCTTCTACTACAGGAGGATCAGCAAGGTGAGAAAGGAGCTCTCGAGGCATGCAAGAGACACACAACATCACCACCGAACCATCTCATGTCATACCACCTCATGTGTCATCAGAACCCCAATTACTACGGCCTGCAAGGCGTCACACACGGGCACATATCAGGTCAGCTGCGTGTGTGCATCCAAGACAACCCCAGCCAAACCCACCAGGCGTCTAATCTCTCTCTCCCTCTCTCTCTCTCTCTGTGTGTGTGTGTGTGTGTGCCACAGATCACCTGTCAGAGCTGGTTGAGACCACGGTCGAGGCGCTCGAGCAGTCCCAGTGCCTCTCTGTCGAGGAGGAAGTCGACCTCTCGGCCCTCAACCTCGGGCTCATCGCCGCTTTCTACTACATCAGATACACCACCATTGGTCAGCCAGCCACACAACCACACACACACCCCTCGCCCTCTCCCTCCCACACCCGTCTCTGTGTGTGCAGAGAAGTTCAACCGTGCGCTGCGAGCCTCCACCAAGCGCAAGGCCATGATAGAGATCATCTGTGCGGCCACCGAATACGACTACGTCCCGGTCAGAGCGGGGGAGGAGGCAGTCCTCAAGGGCCTGGCGAGCCAGCTGGGCGTGCGGCTGTCGGACCGCGAGAAGATCAACGAGCCCCACATCAAGGCACAGATACTCCTTTATGTAAGCTGGCAGGGGGCCGAAGGGAGAGGGGGAGAGAGGGAGGTCGGATGTGTGTGTGTGTGTGTGTGTGTGTGCAGGCTCACTTCAACCGCACAGCGATATCGACAGACCTGCAGGCGGACCAGCGCTATGTGCTGGACCACGCCGTCAGGCTCACACAGGTGAACACACCTTTCGCGCACACACCACACACACCCCACATGTCTGTCTCTGTGTGTGTGCGTGTGTCATCTCATCTCATCAATCAGGGCATGGTTGACGTGTTGTCGAGCAACGGCTGGCTGCAGCCGGCATTGGTGGCCATGGAGATCTGCCAGATGACCGTCCAGGCCATGACCACCGCACAGTCGCCACTGTTGCAGCTGCCGCACTTCGACGAGACGCTCATCAGCAAAGCCAAAGGTACCCAACGAGCCAGACAGACACAGACCGACGTCTGGTGTGTGTGGATCGACGTGTGTGGGGTGGATGGATGGTCAACGCAGAGATGGAGGTGGCCGACGTCTTTGACCTGCTCAACATGGAGGACGACCAGCGCACCACGCTGCTGCAGCCGCTCTCGCAGACACAAGTCGCGGATGTGGCAAAGGTGCGTGCGCCCTCAAGGCGGCTGACTTGCAAGTCGACAAACATGATGGCTGACCTGACTGCGTGTTTGTCGGTGTGTGTATGTGACGAATGTCAGGCGTGCAACCGGTACCCCATGGTGACGATGGAGCACGAGGTCATCAGCCCCGACGACATCGCAGAGGGAGACGCCGTCCAAATGAACATCAAATTCGAAAGAGACCTACAAGTAAACCCACCCTCCCTACACCACCCCACATCCTTCTCACACGTGTGGCTGTCTCCATGCCCCTCTCTCTCTCTCTCTGTGTGTGTGTGTGTGTGTGTTATACCAGGATGAGGCGTTGGGCCCCGTGTTTGCTCCCTTTTATCCCAAGGAGAAGGACGAGCAGTGGTGGGTCATCGCCGGCAGGGCACCCAAGACCAAGGCAGCAGCAGCAGAGGGTGGGGAGGAGAGCAACCTCGCATTCATCAAGCGCATCTCCATCGCCAAGTAAGCCAAGACTACCCCCCACACATGACATGACTTGACACACACGTACTGCACGACATGTCTGTGTGTGTGTCTGATTGCGTCGCGTCGGTCTGTCAGGTCAGAGCAGACTGTCAAGTTGGAGTTCGAGGCGCCCGGCACGAGCGGCGAGTACGACTACGTGCTGTACCTGATGTGCGACTCGTACGTCGGCTGCGACCAGGAGTACAGGTTCAACATTCACGTCAAGCCGGGTGGCCCTGCCGACGACGAGTGACGTGTGTGTGTGCGTGTGTGTGTGTGTGTTGCTTTTATCCACATCATTGCCCTGTCCGTGCTGTGTACGCCACGCGATATCGATCGAGATGTGGTGCCAGACGATATACTACACATCAGACGCCACTTAAGTGTAGTTGGGTATGATGGGTGTTGAGTGTGTTGGGTGTGTATTTTTGAGCGGAGACCCCTGTAGAGCCGTTCAAAGATCTGTGCTTTCATCCCAGTGTGTGTCCGTGCTGTCCCTCCACCCCACCCTCCCACCATGCAGTGCCCATACGTGTCAACCCCCCCACCACTCGACACCCCATCCACCCCACACACGCGACAGAAACAACACAACTTAACAACACAACTCAACAACACAACAACACAACTCAACAACACAACACAACAGAACACACAGACACAACAGAAAAGACAGACATGCTTACACTCGTCTCTCTCTGCAGCCTCGTGTGGCATCCGTACATATGGATTCAGCCACGCCGAGAGAGAGAGACCGAGACAGACAGACAGAAACCCACCGCTGACGCCCAAGGAATTCGAATGGACAGCCATCCGTCCAGCCAGCCAGCCAACCAAAAAGAATTACCGCAGAGTCACAAGGTCTGACCTTGCCACTCACACGGCTGCACGCACGCTGCCGACACCACGGGTCGGGAAGCTCTTGCCCGCCCGCCCCCGTGCAGAGACTCGATCATGCAGCGTGCGCGCACACATTCGGTCCCTCCCTCCAGGCAAAGAAAGCACTAACAGCGTATCACGTCGCATGCAACCCATTCCCCATACACACCTTCGCATCAATTTCAATTAGACAGGCGCGTGTTGTAGTAGAAAAGCGCATGCATTATTAGCACGCACATCTAATCTACCTACCTACCTACCCACCCACCCCGCCCCCTAATGCATCTGACAAATTATCCTATCATTTTGACATGGAAAATCACTACTGGCTAGTACTCACTCAGTAAGTCAGTTCGGGCCTCGAAGAGCCTGCGCATTGGGGGGCTGTCGTCGCGAGCCAGCAGCGCCTTGATGTCGGCCAGCTCCTGCTGCAGGCGCTGAGTCTCCTGCTGCAGGCGCTGAGTGACGACCATGTTGTTGTACATGAGGGATGACAGACTCACGTAGTAGGCATCGCCCTTGATGGCTTCAGTGCCATTCGGTCTGGACAACTCGGCTTCCGAGGTGTCCAGGGCGACACTCCCGGGGAACAACTCAGCAAGCTCTTGACTCAGCACACCTGCGCAGCATCCATCGACCAGAGAGAGAGAGCATGGCGGCATGAAGCAAGCAGCAGGCCGGCCGGCAGGTATGAGTCGGCCGACTCATTTCTTACATCCACACCATGGACAGCTTACCGAGTTGCGTTTCGGCGAGTTCTTCCTCGGGCACATTGGGCATGCTCTCTGGCTGCCACTGGAAGGTCCGCATGCGAATCTGCGCGAATTTGTCGTAAATGTCGGCCTTGCTGTCCGCAGGGAGGTCTTGAATATTCGTCTTCAGGCGAGCATCACTCGTCTCGTAGAAGTTGTCGGAACGCGTGTACCTGGCGTTTACCCCCCAGAACCTCTTGTTAATGTTGCAGCCAACGTACCCTGTGCATCATCACACAGACCGCACACAAACCCATACGCGTGCCGTGTGAGGAGAGAAACCACCACTCAGGCGGTGTGTGTGTGTGAGCCGTACCCGTGTTCCATACAATGTCGCCATAATTATACCCAGGAGAAAGGAGTGTGCCATCAGCGGGATCATGAATGGGAAGTGGACCTATTTCACGCGAATAAGAAGCATAAAAAGCTGGCATCTTCGAGCCTCGTGGTGTTGTGCAAGTATGGATGGCCATGTCAGAGGATGATCCGATGCCGGGATGTCCATTCTCATTGCGCCCTTCGTTCACCTCGATCCACTTGACCGCGTTCACGCAGGCAAAGCAAAGGACACAGATCACAGCGAAAGGACCAGACAAGGACATGGTGAAAGACGCCGGCAAGGAGAAGAAAGGAAGGGCGCGCTGGTGTGGTGCTGATGGAGGCCTCGCTGCACAACGGGCGACCGTTGCGCAAGCTCGCCACGCTGCGAGCTGTAGCTCGCAGATGAGGCGCAGGAAACGAAGGAAAGGTAATAAAAGAAAGAGGTCACACATATCTGGATCTATTGGATGAATTGAAGAACGAGTAGACGAAGATGGTCGCATCGAAAGTCCGGCCTCATCTCCTGGTACATCGCACACACGCTTGGGAGGATGCGCAAACGTCATGCACTGCATTGCGACTCTCATTTCATCTTCCTGCTGTCAGATTGGTTCTCTCGACGACGCCATCGATGCGCTTGCGGATGAGTCACTGGCGGCCGTCGTGTCGGCTGGCTTGGGGCTGCGAGAGGCCCTGACTGAGGGATTGGCCGAGTGTGTCGACCTCAGCAGGACTTTGTTCCACGAGGTGCCGATTCTTGACGACTATGAGTCTGATCTCATCGCTCATTTGGACGAGGCATGCGAGTTCATTGAAGGCGTGATGGACGGCGAGCCAACGGCAGATGTGCTCATCCACTGGTAGGGGGGCCGCGGCACGGCACACACACTGGGTGGGGGATTGAAGGTCACAGTGACATCGATCCTCTCTGCTGCGCTGTTTTCTCTAGCCACCAGGGCATCAGCCGAAGCGCTGCCGTCTGCATCGCGTATCTGATGAAGGCCTCCAAGATGTCGTTCGACGACGCACTCAGCTGGGTGGAGGACGCACACCCCCCAACCTGTCCCAATCTGAACTTCCGAAAGCAGCTCAGGCTGTACGAGAGGATGGGATGCACCACGGCCGGCAGCAGCCCGCACCACAGGCAGTATCGGCTGTGGAAGCGCGCGTGTGACCGGGGACAATCTTTGCCGTTTCCTGACATTAGTGACGACCCTGAAGGCCTGCTATTTGATGACCAGCTGGACCAGGAAGAGGGCATTCTAAGCGATGAGGGCGGCAGCGGCCAAGATGATGGGGACGTTGCGGCATCAGGTGGGAGCAGACGCCCGCCGGCAAGTTCCAGGGAGCTGGCAGAGTGGCAATACACATGCAAGTGCGTGAGTGAGACACCGACAATGAGTGCATTGTTGGTGTCGCTGGTAGGTGTGTTTGTGTATATATGTGTTCCAGGAAGTGTCGCACGCGCCTGTTCTATGAGAGCAACCTTCTGCCACACCACGCCAGAGATGGGTGGAAGTGGAAGAGCTTCCAGAGGAAGAAGACGAGTTCTGCGGTATGCACAGGTACCACCATAAGTGCGTCCATCGTTCTCTGTTGTCAGACACCGGGCCACGAGTGCACTTCGGTGTTTGTCGAGCCCATGAAGTGGATGGGCGACCTCGTAAGGCACCACTCACACGCCCCCACACGCAGCACAGAGAGAGACGGAGAGGAAAGGGCAATTTGTGTGTCTGTTCAGAAGGACCAAACTGGGAAGCTCGTCTGCTCCAATCAGAGGGTACAGTAATGGCAAACAGCAGATACATTAACAACCATCACATGAACCTCCTCGTCTGTCTGTCTGCTGGTCGATGGATTGTCATGTGTGCAGTGCAAGGGCAAGCTTGGCGCATGGTCGTGGCACGGCCTGCAGTGCTCCTGCGGCGGGTGGCACACGCCAGCTTTCCAGGTCAGCCACCACCCCCACCACCTCAATCAACAGCACAATATGACAACATCCTGCTCTCTCTGTTGGCTGACCTCCTCCCCCCCTCTCTGTTAGGTCCATTTGTCCAGGGTCGATCGCCTCCCAATGGGCAGCGCCCACCGCGGCGATGTCCCCACACCCGTCTTCGACCACTGATGGCATATGGCCGATGTCGGTGTCAGCTAGTGCTCCCGGCCACCGGCAAACGAAGTTGCGGCCGTCAACTGCCCCCTCGTCGATGTGAAATGCGACGCAAACAGCCCCGCGAGATGCAACTGCCTCTCCCCCGCTGGTGCGCTCATCCGGGTGGCCGGCCTGGAGCGCTGTGATGCCAGGAAGGAGAGATGCGTGTGGCGGACTTGTTGTCTGGGTGGCTGGAGGGAGGGGAGGAAAATGGGCCGCTGCGGGACGAGGCTGAGCTCCTCTGTCGTGACCTCTTGAAGCTCTTTCTCTAGCTCTGGGTGCTCGAAGGCCTACAAAAGGCAGCAGTGTCTCGGGGTCTCGGAGGGAAGATACTGACGTACCTCTTTCTGCAGCGATTTGAGCGAGGCCACTTGTCTGGGCAATGTCTTGAGGGCCACGGGGCGTGCAAAGTAGTCCTTGAGCGTGGACGCCTCGCATGTGTCACGGATGTTCTGAATCTGGTGTGTCCTGAAAGTGCGCCACTCCTCTGTGTCGCGTGACTTGGCTCTTATCTGTGCATCGTCTGGAAATGTGTCATCGATGAAGCGCTGGATGTTGGCCAGCGTGTCGACTGAAAACAGAAACAGGAATCGATCAGAGAGAGACAATGAGGGAGGGAGGGAGGGAGGGAGGGAGGGACATGGCTGCATGTGTCAGACAGACAGACCGTCGAGCATGATGCGTAGGTTGGCACGCTGCGCTCTGCAATGCAAGGCGGAGAGACGTCAGAGCTGAAGGGGAAGGCGTGGCCTTTCTGTCTTTGTGTCTCGCTCAGTATACTCATCCACCAACCACCCTACCTACCTGCACACGGTGCACTCGGTCTTAGTCACCAACGTGAACTGATACTCCCTGCACACATTCTGGTGACTCCACGCAGATACCTTGCTCATGCATCCTTACCTTGTCGGGCCAGGATCCACCTGCCCCCACCACTTTCTCGCCCTCAGCTCACACACCTGACAGACACGAAGTGTCCGGCTTGTCGGTCTTCTTTTCTCACGTGTCTCCCTCTCTCTCTGCCCACCTCCACAGTCGTGAGCTTCGTCACCTTCCTGCGCTCTCGCGCTGTCCTGGCAGACAGAGTGGATGGATAACACAACCGAAGGAACAAGCGACCGACCGAGCGCGTGTGTGAGTCACTTGAGTGCAATCTTCTTGGTGGACGGCCATCGTGTGGCGCTGGCTATCTCCAATGTGCGAAGGACCTGCATCCCATTGCAATGCATCCCGTTGCATGCAACGGCCAACGCGACGCGACGCGACGCCGCCATGCAGACGATCTTGGTACCTTAATGACTCCATCCCTTAAAGCGAAGACAGCGGGCACTATCGGCTTCTCCCCTTGCTGACCGAAGAAAGCTCCCGGTATCTGTCTGTCCGTATGTGTGTGGCTCCCTTGTCTGTCTGTCTGTCCGCCCACCTTTGCCAGTATGACGCCAGCGTTTGTGCCCTCATCCTTAAATGCTTCCGATGTGTCTAGAGAGGAGATGACACACATACAGAGAGGAGACATGCAAGTCGAAGACGCGATTCAAGATTCCCGGCCGTCACCCATCAGCACGCGACGCCTTAAACCCTGAGGAGAGGGACACATCAAAGGTAATGGCGAGTCCTTTTTAGTGTCCTCCCTCCCACCGAGAACAATGGCGATGCAGCAAGAAAATCTACCATCGGCTCCAGTTGTGGGCGATGCCCAGGAACCCGTACCTGCACACACCTTGACTAGTCCCGAATGTGCATTGACCTCTTTCGCTTACAAACGGGCTGTGTGGCCTCCTGTCATGGCCGGACACGCGGTGAGGCTCCCTCTCCGCGGCGCCAGTGGCCGATGTCTCCCCGGCGCGATAGTTGAGGCCGATGTCCTGCGAGAGCTTGCCCCAGGCCGAGTTAAGCACCCGCACCCTCTCATTGACATTGTCCTCGTGGATGCACAGCCGCGCACCCGCCTCATTGCTGGCTCTGAAGGTGCAGTACTTCTTGGCCAGCAGGGGGTTGTTGAGACGGATGGCGAATCGTCCGGTGCCCTCCATCCGCCACGTGCTGTCCGCCACGTCATGCTGCGTGGGGCGGTCCTTGGCGTCGGCCTCACTGCTGCGGTCCGAGAGAGTGTCGTCCATGTCTTCTGCGGACACTCTGAGAAGACGGTCTTGAGAGAGGCCTGCATGTGGAGGGGGTGTGACGAGAGACACACAATGAGGTATGTGTTGGTGTCTGGTACCGTGTTGGGCTTTCGGGCTGCCTTCCTGCACGGCCAGTCCGGCGTGGATGCCCTACACACAAACAAAGAGGCATGTCTCTCATCGTCGGCTCTCAGTGGTGGTAAGCATTTACCATGACGCCGGTCGCCTTTTGAAGGGCCTCTCTTCTTCTCTGGGCCTCGATCTCTCTCCTTTCCTGCTGCTGCAGGGCCCGCTGATATCCGCGGCGATGCAGCTGCTGCAATGCGCTTGGTTGCAGCTGCATCGAAGGCACCGTGACGCGCATCTCGTCACCTCCCACACCCACATCCCTGTCTCTCTCGCTGACCTTTTCGGATGAGCATTTGGCAACCACGCACTCGCCATGTGCCCGTGCAGACTCCTGGGCCGTCGCGTCATCCTTGCCTGATGTCATGAGCAGTGGGACTCCATGCATCCTGTCAGTCGTCCGTGAAGGCAGACCTACCGAGGATAGCTCCGAATGTGGCCTCCTCCGTGTGGTACAAGGCGTGTGAGTTGTACTGTTGCTGGTGGGGGTGGATGTGGGACGGCGAATGGCTTGGCGTCCCACTGCCATGCATGATGCTCCCATGGTGATGGGATGGCGTTTGGCCGCCGAGCTGCGGCACTGCGAATGAGCAACGTCGCACACAGAAGACACACACATCCATGGGGCTCTTCCTCGCCTTATATATCGAGCCACGTGGCATGCACTGACGTTTTGTGGTCTTGGTGACTCGCCCCGCCAGGACGATGTAGGCAGAGTCGTGATGCTCGCCCTGACGGTAGAGCCAGGCGTGGTCGCTCAGAAGGTAGACAGTCAGGACGCGGGCGAACTCTTTGATGGCATAGTTGGAGACGTTGACAAAGAGAGGCAGCTGGGCGATAATCAAGTAAAGCGACTTCCTCGCGGCCGAGTGGTTCTGCAGATTCAGTGTCTGCCATCCTCGCTTGCCCAGCCTGATTGATGCACGCAACGAGTCTCAGAGCTCTTCGTTCTCGACACGGATGATGTATGTAGCTGCGTGGCGTACGTACGTCGGGCTGTGGGCAGAGTAGGTCTTGATGATGTCTTCCAGCCTGGCAAAGTCCTCCCGGGCCGCTATCTCTGTCGGAACGAGCCGTCGGCTGGACGCATCTCGAGGAAGATCTGAGTCAGCCGTCTCAACTGTGTCCTCCTTGCTGGTGTCCACAGGCCCCTCATGTGTGCTGGTCGACGAGCGCTTGGACTGCCGCCTGCTCATTGTGTTAAAGGGAGGGCTTCGCGCATGCGGCCCCCACCAAGCCCCCCGTCTTCCGATCGACGGTCGCCTGATTGAATCCATGCGTTTCGCTCCTGAAGTCACTCACACGTGATGCAGTCAGTCAACACAATTCATAAATGAACGAACCGACGCGAATATATAATCAAACAACCAATCAAGTGCAGTATGTGAATCATCCATCCACACTCACTCACCACTCATCAATCCCACCGGCCCATCGTTCCCATCCTCATGGCTAGGCTGCATGCCTATCTATCCCCTCTCTCCCGTCCACTCGACCTCCACGGCCGGCACACCGCCTGTCGCCAGCCACAACACACCCACAGCCAGCGAAAACTCGGCCATCCACGCCGCAAAACCCAGCAGGCCACTCGTCCGGCACGCGCGACGCCACACCTGCTCATACGTCAGATCAGCTCTCGCCAGTAGGCATGGAACGGGCGGGTGGATCAAGGAGCTGAACGGCATCCACCGCGAAAGGTGCCACCGCACCGCGAAATCGACTGCTGACACAAGGGATGGCTGGGTTGGGCCCAATGGGAAGGGCAGATGGGGATGCATGGCGGCGAGTGAGGTGAGTGCGCGCATCTGGCGGACTCTCGCCTTGGAGAAGGCTGGTAGGGCTCGCGAGAGGCTGTGGTTGCTCGCCTGCAGGACGGCGTCCAGGTACAGCACATCCTCACTGCAAACACACACAAACACACACCCACACACCCACACACCCACACACCCACACACCCACACACACACCGAAGTGACGGACATACGCGTTGTCATTGATTCATGCGTACAGTGCGGCGTCGAGCCCGTGTGTGGACAGATAGTGCAATCCCCTCGTCGCCTCGCCCAGAATGGCCACATACCCCCGGCTGTCGCCGCTCTCCTTGCCCCTCCAGCTGCACCAGCAGTGGCTCATGTAGTGACATCCATCAACATCCACTGCCCGCCGCCGCGCATAGCGAACGACCTCCCTCGCAGACCACACGACGCCCCGCAGCTGGGGGAATGCATCCGCCAACGCATCGGCCACTCGCCGTGGGTCTCTCTCCTCCATCAGCCGATGCTCGGCTGGCGCAACGATCACGGCAGACCGATGGCGGGCGCCGGCCCTAGGTGCTGCGTAGATGACCGCATGCACACGCTCCTCGGGCGACTGAAGCGTCGCGAAAGTGTCTGCGGCGAGCCTCTGTGGCCCTGCAGCCGTCTGCAGGTCGAGCTCGGCTGGGAGACTGATGGTCTTGCAGACAGGGGTGTCTTCTGATGGGTTCCTTCCTGCCGGGCGGGCAAGAGTGGGGCGGATCTTGCTGAACCGTTCAGGATTGAGCTTGGCCAACACCTGACTCACCTGCATGCACGTGCGGGTGCACCATACATTAGAGGGCTTCACGTGCAGTGAGTGCATCGGTCCGTCCTGTGTGTCACCTGCGATTTCCGTCCATCCGCGCCGATCACCAAATGGGCCTTACACGTCGACTCGCGATACACGCTCCTGCCCCTCCTCTGCCGCATCAGCACGCCCACATGCGGCTCGGATGCAGTGCCAGGCACCACGTCAACCACCTCCCGACCAGTCAACAGCCGCACTTGGCCTGGATAGCTGCGCATCAGATGCCGGGAAAGCAGGCGCACCAGTGTGTGGCGAGGGATTTGCCACGCTTCCTTGGGGAGCTCCTTCGACGACGATGAGCCTCGATGCCGCTTTTCGAGCTTGCCAGAGGACAGAAGAGCCACCGAGTCCACCATTGCGGCCTTCTCTGCAATCTGCTCGCACAATCCATCCGCACCGACATGCGTGACGTTGCTCATGGCGTTGATGAGGCTGTGCGCGCGGACGGCCTCCGCAAGATCCCAATCGAGTGTCCGAAGAACGAGCTGTCCTCGCTCAGTCAGGCTGACGGTGTGGCTGGAAGGATCACTTGCCGCAAAGTACTCACGCCATGGGCTCTTCTCGACGACTGTGATGTCTGAGTAGCCCCGCTTGGCCAGCAGGATGGCTGTGGACAGGCCCGCTGGGCCACCGCCGACAATAAGGACAGGTTCGCGGAGGGGAGAAGCGGCAGCGGCAGCGAGAAGCAGCCAGACCATCGCAGAAGCTGAAACCTGACAGAAGACGCATCACAGATGGAGACGAGTGTTCTTCTTTGGCTTTCTGCAGGTCTTCATTACGTGTAGGTAGACGAAAAATGACGTCCCCTTGGTCATCCTTGCGGCCTGCGAGTGAGTGAGCATCGACAAAATCGTCACGCAATCATCCCCAGGCGCTGCGATTGGAAAAATGGACTATGCTCCATCCACTCCCATCCCCTGTACACGAAATCTGTACAAAAACGGAGCGTGAGAAAGGCGAGCTCAAAAATGGCGAGCTTGGCTGGAAAGAGGAGGAGGCGCGAGAGGTGTGTATATAAAATATATGTATACAACCTTCCACTCGACGCAGTCACCTTTCTTCTCGTCTTTTGTGTTGCAGATCTCTCATTCATCTACTACGCCATGTCAGTGGTGTTCTTGGAGGGCGCTTCACCGGCAGTGGTGACGCTGGACGCCGAGGTGCTCCTCTCGCTCTCGCAGGACCATCGGGGCACGCAGCAGCAGCTCATCCAGGAGCTCACCAGGCAGCGCAACGAGTTGAGGGCTGAGCTTGACGACTACAAGCGACGGCTGGATGACGCGGAGCGGCGCGACCGACAGGCGGAGGCCCAGATCAGGGACCTCGAGGCCCAGCGGGTCCAGGACTCGGCCGTGACGTCGGCGTCATCTGAGGTCGGTGACATCAGTGCAGAGATGGTGCGGCAGCAGCTGCTGGAGCAGCAGCGGACACAGCAGCGCCTGATTGAGGAGGTGCAGCGGCAGAGGGACGAGTACCGAGCAGAGCGTGATGCCTACCGGCAGAGAGACAGATGGACATTCAGCCGAATAATTAGGTAGAATGGATGAATGGATCACTACACCCATCAGACTGACTCTAAGCAAGGGTGAATGAATGAATGAATGGTCACGCTGTAACACTCTCGGTCAGGAGGGGCCTAGACAGGTCAGTCAATCTGAGTGGTTCATGTGTGTCTCCGCATCGGCGATGTCAGTATGAATACCTCAGTGAGCTGCAGAAGGAAAGGGATGAGATCATGGCCGAGAGAGATGACTGCAAGAAGCGGATGGAGCAGGCAGAAGCTGAGCTGGCCAAGTGGCGGCCCCTGAACAAAGCTGCCAGAAGAATGGAAGACGAGCTGCCGATCCTTCTGCCTCTTGGTTTTCTTTGGCATGTGTCTTCTCTGTCTCTGTTTTTCTCCGTTGTTCGTGGCGCCGTCTGTCCAGCGGATCCGGGTGATGTTCTAGACGGGATGCCTCCAGCATGAGGGAGGGAAGGTGGGCGAGGGCACTGCTGCTTGTAGACTGTGTGACGCGATGGAGAAGACTCCTTTTTGATGCTTTTTGTTGGTCGTTGGTTGATCTGTGGCGTGATGTGAGGCAAGCCATGGTCGGTATGGACTCTTTGACGAGTGCTTCATGGTATCTTCACGAATTTGAGAGTGAATGCTTTTTCCGTCCCATGAAGAGCTCACTGCTCACACACTCGTCTGTCGCGATCATTTCTACAATAAACAACATAGAGGCACCGAAGACAATCGGGCGAGAGTGAGACAGCGTCCAACACCACTTGCTCGCAAAGTCGCCGCCTGTCTCTGCCTCTGTCGCATCGCATCCGGTTCATCGAGAAAAACCTTCACAAAGCGCACCCAAGCAGGAGACATCCTTTGACGTCATTTCTGACGCGTACAAAGAAAGATTCACACATATATCCGATAGACAGCGGCCTCACTGACCGGCCGGCCAATGCAGCACAAATGAATTCACACCCGAATGGGAAAGTAGAGACGCAGAGTACTCATATACAGGACAGACAGAGAGAATACAGAGCGACTGGATAGATAGAGACACGTGTGTCAGTCAGTCAAACAGCCACATAGCAACGTTAACATGTGTGGTGGCCCAGCCGTCCGTCATCCGATCAGCCCTGGAAGACGGGGATGCTCTTCGAGATAGAGATACCGACGCCGTCGATGCTGCGGCCGGCGGGGGCGGCAGGCTCACAGTGGCCGGTGTGCTCGAACAGCAGCAGACTCCACTTGCATGAGCCGCCCGAGTAGCACCCCACGGCAATGTCGACCTCGTCGACAGCACTGGTGCGCACCGCTACCACTGCACACACGCAGAACCGCAGATGGGAAAGCTCATGTCAGTGCTCTCTCAGCGCCCTGATCCACCCACCGTCTTTCTGGTGTTGATCGCTGAAGGCAAAGCTCCCTCCGTAATGGCTGAACGAATCACGACACATAGACGCACCAATAGCAACACGGGCAATCATGCCATTGCTCGTCATCCGCTCACCCCGTCTCGTAGTTGATGACTAAGAGGTCGGCGTCGCCGCTCTTTTGGGAGTCGAGGGCCATCATGAAGTAGCGGGCGAACTCCTTGGTGTCGAAGGCAACGTATCCCAGCACGTCGATGCTGCCCTCAGCCGTGGTGCCTTTCACCTCCTGAAACCCACCTGCACACGAGACACAACACACGTACACATGATGATGGAGGGATCACACGAATTGGTTGGTGCAAGGGGTACGCACCTGGACAAGGGGCCGCTGGGCCGGACTGACGGCCGGGCATCTCGCGACCTGCAAACACGGGAGACAGAAAAGATGACCAGTCTTGTTGGTTCGTGTGGGTGTCTCACCTTCACCAATGAAGGCGAGTGTCTCATCGAGGTCGTCCAGGTCGTCGTCGTCGATGTCGGTGACGTTGTCATCCGTCACATTTGGGGGCGGGGGAGGGGGTGATGGCATCTCGATGCCATCGATCATGTCCTGCAGGTCGTCGATGTCGTCCTTGAGGTCGTCAATGTCGTCACTCAGGTCATCCTGATCCAGCAGACAAGGAATCATGAAACATGTGGGTCGCATCTCTCTCTCTCTCTCTCTGTTCTCACCACATCGTCTTTGACATCGTCGACGTCGTCCTTGGCGTCGTCGACATCGTCTTTGACGTCATCTGCGTCGTCCTTGTCATCCCCCGAGTCACCGCCCTTGCCACCGCCACCATTATTGGGCGGGCGGTAGCCGGGGTAGCCCCCATGAGTAGCACTACCGCCATCTGCCAAAACCATCGCACAGAGATGACACCACAGATCCAATCCAACACCCCGACGCCTCCCACCCCTCCTGTCTAGCTACGATCAGGGGGTATGCTCTTACTCACCGGCCTCATCGCCATGGCTGTAGTAGTACTCATCGTAATCATAGGTCTTGTTGAACACCGGCAACAAGTCCGTCAGGTCAGGCAGCGGCGGCAAGTAGCCCCTGCCTGTGCTCTTCCTTCCCCCTCCCCCTCCCCCTCCGCGCCGGCCCTTGCTGACCGTCAGGGCGTGGCCGCGCTTCACGATGTCGACCCCGCCGCCCATGTCCTCGAGCAGCGTCTTAAGCTGGATCACACGCTCCAGCAGCATCTCGGCCTCGGGGAAGTTCGACCCCTCCTTGCTGTCGATCTCAGCGAGGTACGTGTGGGGCGCGCTGCCATGCTCACGATGCTGCTGGTGTAGAAATGTGTGTGTGTGTGGCTGGAGGAACACCTGGGCGGAGGCGGAGAGGGCGAGGAAGGCACCCAGGGAGAGGGCGAGGGAGGGGCGGAGGGCGGAGACCATGGCGCGGGACAGACGGGGAGATACGGATGGCAGGGCGCAGCTGTTCGTTGAGTGAGGCTGCGTGCGGTGCCTGACGGCTGGGTGGACTGAAGACAGAGAGTGAGAGGATGATGGCATGAATACTTGTCGTGCTCGTTCCGTACCTTGTGACAGACAATGGCAGGCAGACAAGGGGGGGCCTGAAGAGAGCGAGGAAGCTAAGGGGGTAAGGCGTCACGCGAACCGTACAGTACGCACAATACGGCCAGCTCACTGGCAGTTATTCGTTGGCCAGTAACGGCACATGGCGGCCACCCGGCGCGTTAAGTCCACATATCATTCAGGATATCGCGTGTGCCAGTGAATGAGTGTCGACACACATGCATATGAAACCAGCCACGATTCACACAGGCATGCATACACAAAGTCGCTAATTGGCCACCACTGATCCAAAACCGACATCAAGTCTATCTCTCACAGCTTGTTCTTGAGAAGCTGTTTCCTGTAGCTCTCAAAGTCTTCCCCGAACTTCGCCACCGACCTGGTGCGGTGGTCCACGTGCCACACCTCATCGGCCACACACGACAGCATGTGGGCGTCGTGCGACTGATCCACACACACACACACACACACAGCACAGAGAGAGAGAGAGAGAGAGCTCACATGACCACACACAGACCATCTTCCTGTGCACCTTAACCAAGCCACGTACCACTATCACGACGCCGCCCTGGAAGTTGTTCAATGCAGCGATGAGCGCCTGCACGGCGTCCAGGTCGAGGTGGTTGGTCGGCTCGTCCATGATCAGTACATGCGGCTTCTTGAAGGCCACCAGCGCGATGGCCACGCGGCTCTTCTGCCCCCCACTCAACACGTACAGCGGCTCCAACGCCAGCAGCCCGGAAATCCCGAACTTGCCGAGGTAGGTGCGGGCATCCTCGTCTTTCAGGTTTGCATCTGGGAAGGCTGTCTGGAGGGACTGGACGGCTGTGAGGGTGAGGTCGAGCTGGTCGACGTGGTGCTGCGAGAAGAAGCCGATGCGCAGCTTGGAGTGGCGCACCACGTGGCCTTCGCTGGGGTCGATGGTGCCGATCATCAGCTGACACGGAATACCACATGGATGTCGGTGTGTGTGGCTGTCTGTCTGTCTGTCAGTCTCTCTGTCTGTGTGGTGTTACTGACTTTGAGTAGGGTGGACTTGCCCGAGCCGTTGACACCACACACGGCAATCCGGCTGTCCAGGTCAATGGTCTGACCAGACACACACACACACACACACACGACGTGGGTCAGCCGAGCGAGGCTCGCTCCGCTCCCTAACCCACCATAGCGACGTCCTTCAACAGCCAATCAGATTTGCCCTCACCATACCTTGTAAGGGAGACACACACACAGACATGGCAGGTAGGTGTATCTCCCTTGTACAAGTGTGCTGGCCGGCTGGCGGGGGGCTGACTGACTTGAAGTAGCAGTCCTGCAGCTGCAGTATGGGCGTGGGCAGGGCCTCGGGCTCGTCGAAGGAGAACACCAGAGTGGGGTCCGACGCCACGGCCTCGAGCATGGGCAGCTTGGCGATGGCCTTGAGACGCGACTGCACCAACGACGCTCGCTTGGCGTTGTATCGGAACCTGTGTGGTTGTGGGCACAGACATGACAGCTCATCTGCTCCTTCCTTGTGGGGCGGTGGTTTGGTTACTTGTCAACGAATTTCTGCATGTGGGCGCGCTTGGCCTCCTGCGCCTCGAACTCCCTCTGCTGCTGCAGCTGCTTCCCCGCACGGACCTCCTCAAACGTGTCGTAGTTGCCACGGTAATACCTTCACAACACACACACGCACACAAACACACACACACAGAGAGAGAGAGAGAGTCGTGCAGAGACACCCAGACACCCAGACACACACACAGAGACATGTTCGTTGGCTGCGCTGCGCTGCGTACGTGAGTGTCTGGTCGCTGAAGTGGATGATGTCGGTGCAGACGTCGTTGAGGAACTGCCGGGCGTGGGAGACGATGATGCACGTCTTGGGCCACTCGCTCAGGTACTGCGTCAGCCACGCCACCGCATGCAGATCCAGGTGGTTCGTCGGCTCGTCCAGCAGCAAGAGATCTGCAGGGAGGGAATCAACACACACACACACACACAGATGGAGAGAGATGCATCCAGCCACGAGAGATATCCGCCATCCGCCACCCCATCCACTGACCAGGGTCTCCGAAGAGAGCCCTTGCAAGTGCGACCCGCATCCTCCAGCCACCTGAAAACTCCCTGGTCTTCTTGTGCTGCATCAATATCAAGGGTTGAGTGAGGCCATCCATCCAGTGTGGCTTTTGTCTGGGTGGGTGTGGGTGGGTGTCACTCTCACCTGCATGTCGGTGGTGAAGCCCAGCCCATCGAGGATGGTGGACGCCCTGCTCTCGGCACTCTGCGCGTCGATGTCGTTGAGCCGCTGGTATATCCACGCCAGACGACGGCCCAACTCCTCCGTCTGCAAAGGACGGACAACACACAGATACATACGCACATCAATCAAAGTGATGCAGGCAGGCAAAGTTGTTTGGGTGTCAGAGTGTGGGTGAGCGGAGCGGCGATCTATCTACCTGTTCTCTGCCCAGCAAGAGTTTCTCCTCCTGCAGCAGGTCGGCCCTCTCCACGTCGACGGCCAAGACGGCCTCGAGGGCGGTCTCTTCGCCACCACGGATCTCTAAGACACACACACACACACACACATTTACACACACGCAGGTCGATGCAGCCATCCAACCCCCTGTGTGTGTCCGCTTACCCTGCTCAATATGGAGGATGTGCATGTCGGGACTGCATGGACACATACGGGGCGCCAACACACACACACGCATTGAAGAAATGCGTGTGTGTGTGGGGGGGGGAATGGGTGGTGTGGTGGGGTGTCGGCTCTGTGCTGCCTCCTCACTTGATGCCGTGTATCTCGCCCCGAGCGAGGGCGTTGAGGAAGGTGGACTTGCCGATACCGTTGCGGCCAACCAAACCGTACTTGCGGCCCATTGCAAGCTTCAACGGCGCATCGCGCAACAGCTCACGACCTGCACCACGAGACCGCCACACACCCACACACCAAGCAAAGATGTCAGCCACACTCCCTCCCTCCATCCCTCTCTCCCTCCCTCTTCACCAGCAATGATGACAGAGAAGGATTCGACGTTGATGTCGGTCATCTTGGCGAGCTGCTTGTCGCCGTGCCGGCATGTCGGCGGTGGCGGCGGCTGTTTGGACTTCTCCCACTGCTTCATGAGCTTGGCCTGCCTCTCCCTTTCCCTCTGCAGCGCCTTCTGCTTCTGCACCGACTCGTCGATGTGCTCGCCCGTGTTGAAGTTGACCGACCCCTTCTTGAGACCGAGATAAGGGTCCTGATAACCACCTGACACACAACACAAGCACACCATCCACCACCATCCCTCAGCCACACACTCTGCTCACCTTTTTTGTCCCCAAGCACACTGCCCAGGACAACGGGCGTCTTGAGCTTGCCCGCACCGCCACCACCCACGGCAGCACCAGCCCCGTTTGGTGCTGGTGCGTTGGAGGTGCTGCGGTCGTCCTCAGCGTCAGTGGATGCAGCGTCACCGTTGACGGCCACAGGGCTGCTCCCGCTGCTCGTGGTGGCCGCATCTGGCTTGGTCGTCAGCTTCTCGTGCAGAGCCTTGCACAAAGATAGCACCTCGGCATCTGTGGACGCTGCGCCGCCGTCCTGGACAAACACACACACCACACAACGGGACAGTAAGGTGACTGCACACCCTGTGTATCCGGTTTTCTGCCTGGTTTTCATCCGCTGACCAGAAGGAACGGTCCTATGAGCTCCTGCAGCTCCTCAGGGTCGGTGCATCCCTCCTCCTTAACCATCCCTGCTGCGTACTCGAGCGTGCCCTCGTCGAGCTTGCTGGACGTCAAGTCGCACAGGATGTCCTTGATGGCCTGCTCCGTCAGCACTGACATGACGACTGTGGGTTGCGGTGCTAACAAATTGAGTCTCTGGAGAGTTCAGAGAGAGCGGTTTCACGGAAGGCCAAGCCCTAGCTTTGCAAACCCTGCAAGTGAGAAATCGCTGTGTTTCTCCCTGTTGAGGAAATGGTGAATGCGACCCGCAGATGGATAACCACAGCTTAGCTTATTCGGTTGGTCCGTAACACTCCCCTGGCGAGTGCGTCCCTTCTGAGAGTTAATGGCGGGCAACCAGCGGCAGCGGGCGTCGCAATTTGACCACCTCGTCGAGTCGCTCTTCTCGGCCTTTCGGCGCACGTCAGACGAGGCGGTACGACGGAGTCCTGTGCGGCCGACCAATGAGAAGATGGCTGACGTGCTGCTGATGAGCTGGGTGGTCCGGCACGGCTGGCCGATTGTGCAGAGCGGCGGGGTGGGGCTGACTGAGGAGCAGGCGCATGTGGCAGTGGAGGAGGGGAGAAGAGTACTGCTCAATGACCCTCTCGGCTTGCCGACCAATCGGATGCGGCCATGGGTATGGTATGGGTGCATGCATCAGGCGGGCAGAACGGACAGTCACAGGCAGGTCTGTGCTGTGCATGTGCTCTTGGGATCTTGTGCTGTGCTGTGTGTGCAGAAGGAATTCATGGGAGAGTTCGCACCGCCAGGTAAGGTAGTACCACGCCATGCCACGGCCGGACGGACCGAGAAGCCAGCCACGTGGAGCCCATACACCTGTCTGTCTGTCTGTCTGTGTGCGTGTGTGTGTTCAGACCATCCCTTCGACCGCTTCACGTCCAACCTGAGCTACTTCCTGCCCAACTACCTGCTGCTCATCTACGCGATGCTCGCCCTCCTCTCGCTGTTTCGCCCCTCCTCTCTGCTCATCGTGACCGTCCTCCAGTACGCCGCCATCCTCCTACCCTCCACTGACTGCCAGGGCAACGGCTGGCTGTTGGGCTTGCCGCCCTCCACGCGGCTGGCCATCACGCTGGCCATCAACCTGATGCTGTGGCTGACGATGCTGGTGGGGCTGCTGACTGCGCCGCGGCTGTATGCTGCCGTGGTGTGGGGGGCTCTGGTGGTGCATGCGCTGTGCCGCACGAGGAGCCCTGTGAGGCTGGTGGCAGACAATGTCAAAAAGACCGCAGAGACCATCAAGAAGAAGGCCAAAGTGACGTGACCTAGACAGTCCGGGCGCATGGGGGAGGGGAAGGTCTGTCGTGTGTGTGTCCGACGGGCCGGGATTGTGATCTGTCAAGCTCGATGAGGCTCTGGCTGTTGTCATGCGGTCGTCACCACATGACGTGACAACAGCCGGGGCAGCATCGAGTGCAGCAGATGGCAAGCCCACTACCTAGAGGACGGACGGCTGGTCGACCATCATGATGTTTTTCTGTGACTGACAGCACGTGTGTCTGTTTGTTTCTTGCGTGTCCCCACTCAATTGTACAGGCAGACATTATGACACTGGCGAGCCACTCGCCGCTTCACTTCTCATGTCAAGCACTCGTCCGTCCAAGCCACCAGTGACGCGACGCACGCACGACAGTCCTCTCTGTCAACGGTGATCATCCATCCATTAGTCGCGTCAGTCACGTGCAGCAACCAGTAGTATCGCGGTCGTGCCATCAGCACGATGGATGCGGTCAATCCCCCCACCCACCGACCCACCCGACGTAGGCACCTGTATTTTTGCCACAACATTGCCTAGTGTCACTTTTCAACCTCCAAAGCCACACACATCCACACACACACATATCCACACACACACATGGAGTGGCGGCAGAGCTGCGACAGACACGACTGACACAAACAAAGACCAGACAGACAGACAGACAGCCAAGCGACAGACACCTGCAGTCAGTCAGTCGTATGTAATGGCGCTACCTGCGAAAAACGTGGAGACGATAGAGAGAGACGTGCAACCATGCAACCAGACACTCACGCAACCTACTACCTACTCACTTACAGCCATCCATCCACACACACACACACACAGAGTGCAGCACACACGCGCACACACACACACACACACACCGGACGAAAGAAAGATAGCTACCCGTCCGTGTCTCATCTATCTCCTTCCTCCCCCCTGCGTCTCCCTGAGTATCCACCTGGCCCTCTCCTCGTTAGACAAAGCCCGCTCCGTCCGCTTCACCGACTCGGTAATCATGGTCACGCCCTCGTCAAACTCGTTGCTCAGACACGACGAGTCGCCCTGTCCGTCGTCTTCGCTCACATCCGTCCCGTTGGCCTCGTCAAAGTCAAACCCCTCCACCGTCCGACGAAAAAATGCCGCCAGCTCCTCCCTCTCCCTCTCGCCCCAAGGACCCTCACCCTCCCCCTCCCCATCTCGCTTCTTGTCTTCCGGCGTCATCGGGGGCCGATGGGTGTGGGTGTGGGTGTGGCACTCGCCGTGCATCATCATGACGTTGGGTGCGAAGGGAGATCGGTAGGAGGGGTCGAGGAGCGTCACGGGTGCAGCGCCTACACGGTGGTCCTTCTGCTTGGCGTCGGGCGAGAGCAGCCGCCGGGTGCTGTCGTCTCTGCGACGGGCAGGAGGAGTACGGCCATGTGCTGCTGGTGCTGGTGGTGGTGCTGGTGGCGTGGGCGTGGTGCTCGAGGGCGCGGCGGGGTCTTGCGCGGCTTCGGGATCGTCTGCGTAGGCCTCGTCGTCAGTGCTGGTGCAGGGAGGGTGGGCGGCAGGGGCCGGGGGGTAGGGGGGCTCAAGCGTGGCTGCACAGGCTGCATGCCGCGGCGGGGGGCTCCGGCGTCGCCTACAGCCAGCAGCATGCCATGCGGCAGCAATCAGCACGGTACGCTACGCTACCCTGCATGATGCTGCCGCTTCTCGTCTGCATACCCTTGGTGTGTTATTGGCTCATCAACAGGCGGCGACTGGGACTGGGCAGCCTCCCTGCTGTTGCTGTTGCTGCTGTGCCGGCGCTGCTCGTGGCTCTTCCCACGGTGAGTCCCGCGGTGCCTCTCCCTCCCTCTCTCCGTCCGCTCCAGACTCCTGCTTCGTTTGTGATCGCCTGTGGGGGGCTTGGGGGTGCAGCCGTCGCCCTTGTCACCTTTGTCACGGTTATTGCGTTCGGCGGACGTTGAACGGCCCCTCTTGGTCTTGGACTCTTCCTTCTCGTTATAGCTCTTTTTTCTGTCTCTGTCCTTGCGTGTTGTCGGGGAAGCTTTCTTGGCCTCTTCGTGACCAGTCTCGCGGGCAGCTCCATGACCATGAGCATGGGCATGCGGCTTCTGGTGGGGGTGCGGGTGGGGGTCTTTCCGCTCGGTTGCTGCCGCTGCTGCTGGTGACGTTGCCGCCCTTGGTGATGGCTTGTCTTGGTGTTTTTTCCGCTGGGGGGATGGTGACGGCGGCCTTGTCGGTCTGTCGGGTGGCGTAGGCGTTGGTGCGTCCATGTCGATGACCACCTCGCCCAAATCAGGAGGAGGAGGAGGACAAGGCTTGCAATCGCGAGGCTTCTCTCGTCGGGGGAAACACCCGCTCTCCGCCCCTCTCCTGTGCCGCTTGCCGCCCTTGTCGCGAGCACGACGCTTGTGCTGGTGTGGGGTTGGCGGTGGGTGCCTGTGCGGGTGTGGCTGTGTTTCGTCGTCGTCAGCTGGGGGCGATTGGGGTGTGGGCGCGGGTGTGGATGCTCGGTGTCGGGATGGCGGAGAGGTGGGGGCTGGCGGTGTCCTGTCGGCGGCGAGGGCGTGGCTGAACTGGGTGGCCACGAGGGACGTTGGCTGGCTCAATAGCAGCTCCTGATGACACACACACACAGAGAATGACTGAGCACACTGAGTGTTGCTGCATCGTACCTGTAAGTCTGGCAGGGTCAGCGTCGTGGACGCTGAGCAGACATCGCCCTCGGTCCGTCTCGCCGCCACCCTCCCCCTAATCGCCTCCAGCCGCCGCTGATCGCTGATCTCCTCCCCCCACCCCTCAAGCGCACCCTCCACCACATAGTCTACCGCCTTCGTGTGGAAGTATTGGCCGCACACTCGCCTGTCGAGCATATCGGTGGACAGCTGCGCCAGCGTGTTGACGACCACCGCCCTCTCGCCCGGCTTCAGCTCGCGCACGTCGAGGCATGACACGGCCTCCCGGCTGCCGACGATATGCACGTGTGGGCTGCCCAGGAAGCGTGTGACGCGCTTGCGAAGAGTCTCTGACCAGATTATCCGGCGAAGAGGGAGAAACGGCGCATCGAGCCGGAGCGACGAGAGCGCTGAGGCAATGAAGCGGAAATGCAGCGAGAGGACGGCGAGGGTGACGATCCAGCCTGTGGCACTCCCGGGGGAGCCGACGATAGAGGAGGATGTGAGCAGCAGCATCGCCGTGACGGTGGCGAGGAAGGTCCAGAGGCACTGGCTCTCGAGACGGTCCTGCACGCCACACGGCCGAACGTCGTGGGGGCGCGCCCAGCTGTGGAGCGCGATGAATGCCAGACCCTGCAGCAAGAGCAGGGCATATGCCTGGGCCGACTCGGACATGACCGTCGAGCGGGGGCCGGGAGGGACCAGCAGCACCACCCACACCACCACCTGCAGAAGGAACGAGACAGACACACGGCAAGCCATGCCATGGTGTGTGCCACTTCCCCTGCAAAGACCACCCTCTGCCGACCCGACTCCACCGACCTCACCTTTCTGAGCATGACGTAGCACTCCCAGCCCCTCATTGCCGGCCGGTAGCCGTACCACAGGAAGTCCAGGTGCAGGAAGAGACCCCCGAAGAGCCGGCGGCGCTTGCTGGGGGCCGCCGCTGCGTCTGCGGTTGTCGACGGGAGATAGATTGTCAGCATGAGAAACAGCAAAGGCATCCCGACGGACCACAGAATGAGACCCAGCAGCGCCAGCACGAAGTAAGGCTGACAACACACACACACACACACACACAGACACACACACATGTGGGGAGCGTCATAAGGCCACCCATGTGACGGTTGGCTTACGGTCTGCTCGCCGCCATAACAAAAAGTGTCTGGGTCATAGACCAGCCGTGCCGGCTCGTCAAACACGCCCACACCCACAGCCTTGGCTGCGTCACGGGCGCCACCGCTATGAGCCACAGGTGGCCCGTATACGGAGGCATAGCTGCGGCAGTGGAGGGCCACCACATACTGATGCGTTGCCGTCGGTGAAAAGAGCAACAGGGCCACCTGGAAGAACACACACACACACATGGACATGGACACACAGAGACAGACAGACAGACAGAGACAGACAGAGAGAGAGGAGGGCGATGGGCGCGTGTGTGTGTGTGTGTGCTCGGTGTCTCACTCCCTCACTCACCAGTACTGCTGTGGTGGTTTTGTGTTGGAACTTCTGTTTGAGCCACTGGGGGGTGACGTGGTCGACAGAGAAGGCGTGCACCAGCAACAGCCCCGTCAACACTGACCACCGACCATACCATCAGAAACAGAGCACATTGAGGCCAGCCAGCCATGGTGCGCAGCGCATAGATCAGATCAGATCACTCGGCTCTCCTGTGGGTGTGAAGGCCATGAGTGTCTGTCTGCAGACGCATCCATACCAGCGGCAGGTGGGAAGACGAAGGCCAGCACCAGAGTGAACCGAAGAGAGCCGATCGGCGTGCCGAACCAGCACCCAAAACTGACAACACACACACAGACACACACAGACACACACAGACAGACACAGACAGACATACACAGACAGACTCCCACACACACGATGAACGATGACCTGTCGGCCTCCCTCCCTCCCTGTCTCTCTGCCTGTCTCTGTGCGCCAAGCTTATATGCCGGTGGCTCACTCGAGCATGTTCTTGAGAGGGTCGGCGAGGTCAGAGACCCACTGCAGCACATAGAGGGACGAGTAGGCCGACCGCACGGCCGGCGACAGGGCGGCCACCGCCACAGACGTCAGCTCAAGATACGAACTCACTACCTGAACCATCCACACACACACACACACATGCAGATGCGCATCAACGAGAGCCGTCGTCTCCCTTCTCTCTCCCTCCCTCCCCTGACTCACCTTGACCACCGCCGGCAGCGCCGGATTCCCTTTGATGTCTTTCCCGTGCTGTCCTCCTCCCCCACTCTCCCTCTCCCTGCCCCTGACCAGGTGCACCAGGCCCCACACCAGCCCCCCGCACTGCAGCAGAAACAACAGCACCTTCACCGCCACCCAGCCACCAGACGAGCACCTCACACACGGCCGCCGCACCGATGGCCGCCAGTGGCCTTTGGTGCAGGTGGTGCAGAGGGTGCCTTGTGTGTGTGAGTTGGGGGTGCACGTGTTGGCTGCGCTGCAGTCGGGGGCGTGCGGGCATGGCACGAAAAGCGAGAAGGAGGCGGTGGTGCTGCTCGTGGTGGTGTCTGTCTTGTTTGTGGTGGTCCGGGTGGTGGCTGTGAGTCGGTAGTGGCCTTTGGTGGCATGGGGGACCTCCCGCTCGCTTCGATGGACACACGAGGCGCCCTGACAGACAGACCAAAGAAGCAACGGCACACAGCCATCGGTGTGGGCTTGGGCGTGTGTGTGTGGGTGTCTGATTGCTTGGGAGCACCCGTGGGCAGGGTATGCAGTGGTGTGCGCCCTGTAAGTCGTTGTAGGTGCCTTCGGGGCAGAGGCTGCACTGGGACAGACCCTCCTCGCCAGCAAATGTGCCCTGGCGCAACCAACATATACAATGGAAACATCCATCCATCCCATCGGCCCAAGTGTGTTGTGTGTCTGCTAGCTTCCCACCCCACCGACCCACCCTCCCTCCCTCCCCTCCCACCTTTGGGCACGGCCTGCACTGGGTGGCGCCGGGCCGGCCGCTGTACATGCCTGCACACACACACGCACACGCACACCCACACCTACATGTGCAGGCACCTCACCAACGGACCGAGCTCACCCCTCCCACCCCCTCTCGCCCACCCACCGACCCATGGGGCACTTGGTGCAGTGTGTCTGGTGGGTGTGCTTGTGGAGCGACCCGCTGCGGTAGGTCCCCGGTGCACACGGCCTGCAGCCGTCGATCGTGAGGTCACGGCCGGCACCGCACCGCTGACACAACTCCCACACGCCACTCGAGGACGATGAGCTGATATATGACACGAGGGAAGGAACCAGATGTGTCTGTGTGAGGTGTGTGAGGATGTGGTGCGGTGTTGTTGTGTGTGGGGGGGGGGGTACTGGTAGGTACTTGTTGTGTGTGTTGGCGCGTGTGGTTCGGCATTTGAAGCCACACTTGAGGGTGGAGGGGTCCAGCATCTTGCCGCGAGAGGCGCAGTCGGGCAGCCAACCTGATATACTGCACCGCTCCGCACATCATCCACCGACCACACACAGAGCACACAAGAGAGAGAGAGACGTCCGTCCATCCGTCCATCGGCCTCGCCGGCTTCGTCACACACACACACACATGACACCGACACCACACGACGCCATGCCACGCCAAGCCGCTTACGTGTACTTGTGGCCCTCCACCCACTGGCAAGCCACAGAAGAGACGTGCTCGCCTCCAATCACGACCCTAACACACACACACAGACACACACACACACCCTCAGACACAATATCACCTCCCTCCCGGACCGCCCTCCTCACTTACTTCTTCATCATGTCAGTGAGTTCCTTTTCGCTGACAGTGAATGCCTCCAGCGCCTTGAGCACCATGGGCATCTCGGCCCTCACGCGGCGGCTGGCGGCCTTCTTCAGATGGATGCTCGGCCAGTCGCACGACGCAGACACAGAGCCTTTCAGCGCGCCACTGCCGCTGCCGCTGCTGCCGTTGTTGCTGTGACCGCTGCCACCGCCCCCGAGGCGCGTGTACGAGGGCGGGAAGCACGACGGATTGTGGGGCGGCAGTGTCAGCGGCCTGCAGGCACACAGACGCAGCGATGAAGGGTATAGAGGGGTGTGTGTGTGTGTGTGTGGTCCAGTCGCTTGTTTACATGGCGCTGGTAGAAATGGTCATCTCGTCGGGCTGCCACCAGTAAAACAAAATCGGCTGCCGCTGAAGGAACACACATAGGAAAAGTCGACACGGCTGGCTGCACAACTCCCCCCTTCCCCCTCCCCCTCCCCGTTGGTCACATTCACTCACTTGGCGAGCTGCCTTCTCGATGTGCTCTCTGTAAGAGTGCTTCGGGAGGTAGACGACGTTGTAGTGGAGGGAGAGGGCCGTCACCAGGTCCTCGAGCACCGTGTGGCCGTCACCGCTCGGCAGGGCGTACAGATCGCTGCACGACGAGCGGCCGCTCGCACCCTTGCAGTGGCGCGGCACCTGCACACACACACACACACACACACACACGGAGAGACACATGGCATCAACGGCGCTGTGCGCGTGAGTGTGTGTGTGTGGGGTGGGTCGGCTGACGAAGGTCTTTGGCTTGTCTGTGGGGTAGAACTGCAGCGAGCCGTTCGAGCGCCTCGTGAAGAGCTTCCAGGCCCCCCCGCCCTCCTGGTGGCTCCGCCAGTAGTCCACGAACGAGCCCTTACTCAACACGCGACGAGGGAAGAAAATGCCCTGATAAGCAAGACACCACACCCACACCCACACACACCCACACCCATGGCTTGTGCGGAGCTCGTTTGCGAGGCTGAGCTGACTGACGGACCTCTTTGCCAGGGTATCCGATGGAGCCTGCGTCAACGACGGTCTTGTCGTTGAGGACGTGCTGCACATAGGCCGTGTCGAGGGTGTCGTGCATGTTCCACTGCTCCAGGTCGATGTCGTACAGAGGGAAGGGGCTGCTGTTGGTGTTGGAGCTCGAATGGGAGTGGGAGGAGTCGGTGTGGCGCGCCATGTCCTCCCACATGTGGGAAGCAGGGATGCGGCTGAGGTCGACCAGCTTCACGGGAATGCCCACAACGTCACGAACTACCTGCACACACACACACACGCAGACAGACATCACACACGTACACACACACATCATCTTCTTGTGGTACCGCGGCGAATATCTCGGTGACGATTTGGTGGCTGAGCCACGCCCTCTTGGCCAGCCGCAGGGTGCCATTGGTGTTGAGGCCCTCCCTCTCCGCCACAGTGCGGCTGCCCCGCGCCAGGCATTGGCCGCGGCAGATGGCCGCCGTCCAGCCAAGCCATAGACAGAGCAGAGGCAGCACCAGGCACCGCAGACAGTGCCGCCCCGGCATCGAGCGGCACAGAAAATGCTGCTAAACACACAGCGTACAAGTCGGGTTTTGTCGTTGAATCGTGAAACGTTTCGAAAATGGATTGTGAGATTTGCTGCCCGGGCGTACGTATCTTTGCTGTGGATGCAGCGGGGGAGCCATGGGCGTGTTACACCGGTCTGAAGGCGTGTGGCTATACCTTCCACAGCCACCCCACACCAGCCCAGCCCAGCCAGCGGTCGGAAACGACGACGGTCGGAGTGAGTGAGAGCGCGTGAGTGATGAGCGATCATCGGCAAAGAGGTGGCTCGAGAGGCATACGGCGGCCGGCAGACGAGGGCACTCAACTCGCCATGAGAGGCAACGAGTTCTACAAGATGGCGGACTTTGCGGAGGCGCTCAACGTCATGCCGGGAGATGCGCCGGGCAGAGCCACCCTACTCAGCAGTGGGCAGGGCACTAGAGAGAGAGAGAGAGAGTCAATGCCCGACAGCCATGGCCCGGCAGATACGACGACGTGTTATGTTGTGTTGTGTGTGTGTTTGGTGTGCCCCACAGACAAGGCTGCGTGTTTGATTCATCTGGGGCATCTGCAGATGGCTCTCGGGGACCTCAGCTCGTCCCTGCAGATCAGCCCCAAGCAGGAGAAGGCCTGGGCCAGGAAGGGAGCGGTGCTGATACGGCAGAAGAGATACGACGACGCCGTCAGCGCACTCGAGGACGGCCTCAAAGTGTGAGTGGAATCTGATGCGTGGGCTTCTTGTGAGCGAGCGTCCTCCTTATCGTTGTGTGTATGTTGCGTATGTGTGTGCAGAATGCCGGACAACAAGCAGCTGCAGGACATCCTCCTGACAGCCCGTGAGTTCCAGGCCCGTGCCCAGCATCCCCTGTTCAAGCCACACAGCGTCGCCACCGACAGCCTGGCGCCGTCACCAGTGGCACGCAAGAAGGTCGCCGATGCGTTCGACCGCTTCGTGGCGCTCGAGCAGCGGTATTTCCAAGGCCTGTCGGCGGCCGACAGGCAGAGGCTCCGTGAGATGAGTGAGATGGAGGACGGCGCGCCGCTGTCCGAGACCATGGCGGGGCTGAGCTTTGCGGGCGAGGTGCTGCTGCTCCTCCTCGGGCTCAAGCCGTGTGTCCTCATCGCCGTGCACATGTGAGAGAGTGAGTGGGGGCAGACAGGAACGAACAAGTGAGATGTGGTGGTCTGTGTGTTCCATTCGTTCGTTCGTTCAGGTGGCCCGAGTACGCGAGCAGCATTGTGGATGTGGCCTTCCGTCCTTTTGTGGCGGCGACCAAGGACATCGATGGCGTCGAGTTGGAGCTGCACGAGATCACTCACGAGATGCGCACCACCGCCTACACGACCACCGGCGGCGAGCACAAGGGATTCAAGGTCAACAGACAGAAGACGCCCACAGCTCCATTCCTCTTTCCGTGTGCGCCTTCAGCATCACTTTGTCTGTGTCACCTTGTCTGTCTGTCACGTGCAGGGCGGGTGGGTGTTGGCGAACCGCATGGACGACCGCTACGGCCACGTGCGGCGCACCTTCTACGAGGCCAAGCAGGGATACTTGGTCCTCGAGGACGCCGTGGCGCTCGCACTGGGGTACCCGGGGACGTTGGAGGCGCTCCAGGACGAGCCGCAGACCTTCACTGTGTGGTACCACATCCGGCGAAGCGGCAGACAGACGCCGCACGAACACAAACCACCCGTGAGTGAGCCGGGAAGCTCATTCTTGCGGCTGCATGGGTGCAGACATCTCTCTCCCTCTCTCTCTGTGTGTGTGTGCAGTGTTTGGAGTACGTCTGCCACCGCAGCGAGATGGCCATGAGCGAGTGGCACTTTGAGGTGTGTCGGAGGGCTTGTGAGGGCATCGCCGAGCTGCAGAAACGGGTCCGCGACGACCACGCAGAGCTGCTGGGTGGGCATTGAGACGATATATGACGGTGGCGGGCTCGAACGAAGAGTGTGCGATACCTACCGTGATCGAGATGCGTGTGCGCGGGATGGGCCCGCTGGCCTTATAAAGTATGGCACACGTGTGTGTGTGTGTGTGTGTGTGTCAGTCAGTCAGAACTCGTGTGTGCGTGATGCTGTGCTTTATGCTGTGTGTGTTGAGCAGTGAATGACCTGCTGCAGATTGTCTGTCATCAACGCTTCACGCAGGGAGGGAGTCAGCCAGTCCGCCACGGCACGCACACACACTACTGCAGCATATGTTACTTCTTCTCATATGCCTTCACAAATCCGACAGACAGACAGGCAGCCGATGGACGGCCGTGTGGTCCCACCACCCTCCCTCCCTCCCTCGCTCTCTCTCTCTCTCTCTCTCTCGCTCTCTCAGTCGGTCGGCCACTCTCACTGTCTTTCCACACGGCATTGATGCGATTTATCAACACAAAGACAAAACGGCCAGTCGAATGACTCCATCACACACACACACACACACACACACAGGGGCAGCCAGGCCAGCCAAAGTGGAACAAATAGGCTAAGCAAGCGCAGCAAGCAATCGAAGAGAAGAGCAGTAAGTAGAGTCAGTCGAGTGCACCGATGGCGGGAGGGCAGATGGGTGACGTCAGTCCTGGTGGCGGGCCTTTTTCTTGCTGGGGGGAGCGGCCTGCTCGTCAACCTTCCGCTTCTTATCACCTCTCCCGGCTTCGCACACGACGACAACCACACACGGCGTATGTGTGCTTGATGCTGCTGTGGCTGTGCGTGTCCATCAGTGGTTTACCCTCCTCGTGTCTGTCGGCATTCTGTCTGGCGCGCTTCGGACGGCGCGACTCGACCATGACGACATCCTACACACATACACACACATCCACACACAGGTCCAATGCGACAGCCATGCGACACTCACTGACCTCGCCGGGCTCTGCCTCATTGTGTGCGGCCTCGATGCCGCGCTTCTTGCCGCCACGCAATCCGTATGGGCTGCGCTGCATGGGCGGGGTCTTCTTGACGCGCCGGGCGCTGCTGGCGGCCGTGCCACAACCACCACCGACACTCCCCTGCATACCCCAACGAGAGAAAGGCGGACAAAGCGATCAACACACACGTGTGGATGGCCGATGTGTGTGTGTGTGTGTGTGTGTGTGTTGATATTTCTTGCCTTCTGCTTGGGTGCGGCGGGCTTGCTGGCCTTCTTGCCGCCGCCCTTGCCCGCCCTCTTGGCCTTGCCCGACACCTACACACACACACACATGAAAGCTACGTGTCCAAGTGACAGACCGGTCGACGCACTTGTGTGATCCTGACTGACCTGTCCAGAGCTGGCGGCCGGTTTGTTCGCCTTGCCCTTGTCGACCGCGGCGGGCTCGGGCTTCAGACACTTCTTGCAAAGATACTGAACGAACCGAGGAAGACAGCGATCAAAGAGAGAGGGGGTGCAGTGGGTGTGTGTGGTGTCCGCTGTCTGACCTTGGTGCGCCAGCGGTTGGGCCCGGGGCCCTCCAACTCCACCACAGACAAACCCGTGAAGCTGACCAACGCACACACACAGATGACTACCAGTGGATGGTGCATGTGTGTCGTGTGGCTGTGTGTGTGTGCGTGTGGGTTTACCGGTGGCGGCATTTCTTGCAGTTGGTGTCGATGAGGTCCTTCTGTGCGCAGCCGATGACCTGGACCGAGTCGGGGGAGAACTTGTCCATCCTGGACACCTCCGACTCGGCCGCCTCGCCCTCATCGGCCAGCTCCCCAACCAAACCTGACCACAACACAATAACATACACACAACACATGTCAGCAGATAGATCCTCTCATCTGTGTGTGTGTGTGTGTGTGTGTGGTCGTGTGGCGTACGCTTGTAGAGCTCACGGCCGTCCTCGCCCTCCTTGAGCTCCATGCGCCACACCAGAGAGCAAGGGTGCCACCTAACGACACACACACACACACAGACACCTGTGTGTGTGCAGACTGTTGAGTGTGTTGTGTGGTGTCTCGGTTTACTTGGGCACTCCGGTGAGCGGTGAGTTCTTGCAGCTGCACGGCTTGGCCTTAAGGGCTCTGGCGAGCCACATCTTGACGCAGACCTCGTCGTAGGGGAGGAAGTTGACGGCCTCGTTCATGTTGAACCTAAACACACACACACACACAGAGAGAGAGATCGAGATCTGGATGGAGTGCTGGGTGCGTGTGTGTGTGTGTGTGTGTGCTTGCCCGAGGTTGAATCCCTGGTGGTAGGCACCGGGCAGCGTCACCACAAAGTCGCCCTCCTCCTGAACGATCCTGCACACGCACACAAAGACCAACGACACACACAGACACAGATCAACCCAACCCCCCCGTGGCGTGAGGGGGCTCATTATTCCCCATTATATCTTCCTTCTCAGTGGGTCTATCGCTGGCTGGCTGACCGGTAGACAGGGATGCCGGCCTCGACGAGGATGCGGGGGTGCAGCAGAACTGCCTTGTGGCGGTTGTACTGGCCGCTGAGTGTGAGCAGGCACACACACAGACAGACAGACAGACACTTAAGCAATGACTGAGCTGCTTGTTTGTGTGGTGCCTGGCTGGCTGGCTGGCTGGCTGGCTGACCACTGAGCGAACTCCTCGGGCAGGTGCTTCTTTGTCAACTCATCGACGGCCTCCATGAACGCAGCTGGGACCAGATACCACACCCTGACCCACACACACACACACACAGAGAGAGAGAGAGAGAGGGAGAGAGAGAGAGAGAGGCACACACATGACTGTTGGTGGGGTGGCTGGGTTTGTGTGTTTGTGTTATGCCTACTTGGCCTTGCCCTTGTGCCAGCCTTTGTGGCTGTAGTTGATCGACGGCAAGTCCAAATCCTAAGAGACAGACAGACAGACAGATGACGGAAACAGTGCGTTGAGTGCCTGCCCCCCCCCCCCC